ATCGCCAGCTTTTACAACCTTACAGCAAGACTGGTAGGGCTCCTACATTTAACACCCTCAGCCAGCTTTAGGGATTATTCTTGTTCCGCCGCCAGAGATTGTTTCGGGGCTGTAGAAATGCCGTTCGGGCTGCGTCAATACGCCACCTGACATCATCTACTGCTTGTCCGTTGGGCATCGTCGCAATGAAATTGCACCTGAAGGTGGTAAGATGGTAGACCTGATATACTTGACATTCGAGACAATTTCTATTGGTAGGCCATTCAGTTGCAGGGCTTGGTTTGCTTGACTATTGGGTATTACGGAGGCCTTCGTTTCGGCGGTACTGATCTCAAGACAAATCCTGGAAGTGTCTTAATCAACCCGATCAAAGGCCACTTGCGAGGCGGCCAGGTCCTCCCTGAGCGAAATCCAGTGTCTTCGGTGGACATCGGATCTACGACCACAGGCAAAACCTGCTGCAAAGTGCATTGCCTGTTGGATATGGGCCCAATGCTCATTTACATTACTGTTCGTCGTAGATCCTAGCTCATGTGCTGACTTCTGTCCATAACGGGTGCAGACTTCTGGATCAGACAAACGTTCTACGGCAAACCGGGTTTGCGGTTTGCGACGATTACCATGGAGCTGCAGAGATAATCGCATTAGAACTAATGTATGGTCGAACTCTACCTACGTGGACCAGCAAGATCTACAGTTCTGAACAGAACTGTGTCATCGGTAGCTTACGGCGATATAACCAACCTGACTTAAAGTACCTGTAGAGTTAGAGTGCCATGTTGCTGTGCGACGCGAGCTGTGTCGGAAATTGGTGCTAGACAAGAACAACCGATTGCCTGCAAAAAATGGAGAAGCCTATCCCCGTTGTCTGTGCGCTGAGCAGGTAAGGCACAACGTCTGTCTAAACAAGCTTCTGACGCAGTAAGTTTGCAAACTTGCGCGTTAAAGTCACTAGCTAGCACTACAATGTCAGAACCTTTGCCCCTGAGGACGAGGGTAGCGAGTTCATGGTACGACAGACATAACCTCGTCTCTTGCTTTGCTTTCTGCATGTCGGGTGATCCGATTTCTGGTGCTCGTGCGATTGCCTTGAGTGTGCACTGCTAGACTGGAATCCAGTTAGCAGTCGTTTGTGTGCAATGCGGTTGGACGGTTCTGTTCGTGTCAAGAACAACAAACTAAAGCGTCAATGCTTGTTCGTCGTGCCCACTGACTGCAGCTCCTCTGAGACCAAGGACGAATTCTACCAGAATTTGTCTCTGCTGCTTTGAAGCGTGCGTTCAACAGATGTGGTGGTCATTGCTGGGCATTTCAATGTCCAAGTTGGTGGTTCGGGAGATTCCGGAAGGCACATCGGAGGCTCATTTGCTATCCCGGCCAATAGCACTGACTACGGCAATGGTCCCATCCAGCTGTGTTCTGACTACAGATTGTTTCTGGCGAGTACGAACTTATGCTATATGAAGCGGCATAGACGCACATGGCGTCCTCCTACGTCTTCACAACGTTGGACTTAGATTGACCATATTGTCGTTGATCACCGCTGGCGTGGGTTAATTGAGGATCGTCATTTGTTTGAGTCCACGCCTTGGTACTTGCTCGCTTCTGTTTGTGTTTCGTTCGTGGTTGCATCAACGTAAAAGTCGCCCGTCCTGCGCAATTGCTTCTGGACGACAACCGATGATTTGCTTTTCCGGTAGAGCTATCTACACGGTTATCGAAGCAGCCGTATGCCCCGGACCTGAATGAATGCTGGCAACAGATCAAGAAAGCCGTGTGCCACACAGAACTCTGGTTCAAGTAGGTCCCACAAACGATGAATGTCTTCGCTATTAGTTCCCCTGTTTGATGCCCGCAGATCCGTCCCTCCGGGTTTCAAATCCAATGAGGTTTGCAAGTCCCTGAGGCGCCAGCTGATTAGGAGGTGGAGAAATGACTATGAGCAGTGGTGGATTACGAAATGTAGGAAAATGGGGAAGGCTACGTTTACTGGCAATACTCGCAACCTCTGCCGTTTTATTAGAAGTACCGGTCCACAGAAACCAGGTAATGGTGAGTTAATCAAGGAACCCGACGGTTCACTTATTCGCTCTCAGGGACGTGGTCTGGATCGTTGGCCACAGCACTTTGAGGAGCAATTCAGTTGGACCAATTCAATAGGGGACCTTCGGAACATACCTACCAGAGAAACGATGCAGGTTATGCGGGAGATAGTTCGCTTGAGAGGGTATAAAGCCGCTGGACCGGATGGGTTGTCTCCATCTTTTTTCAAGGATGGAGGCGAAGCTTTGGTTTCGGAGTTAACGAATATCCTCCGGGTTATTTGGGACAGTGAGCAGGTTCCCAGGGAATGGTGTGAATCGGTGATTGCGCCGATTTACAAGAAAGGTGACAGATCTCCTTGTGAAAACCGCAGAGGAATTAGCTTAGAAACTACCGCATTTTAACTGCTCACCGGGCTTATTGTCCAACGAATATTCAGCGCGAGAAATGTATGCGCGTAAGAATCGAGTCGGTTTCAGTTCATGTAGGGGTTGTGGCAGCCACATCTTTACTCTTCGAGATATCGTAGAGCACAGACACACCTTTTGTAGGCCCACAATCTGTGTTTCTCTTGATTTGAAGGCGGCGCTCGATTCAGCCGACCGCACAGTCCTCCAGCGTTTCCTCTTATTGAGGGGTGTCCCGGAGAAATGTAATTCTCTTTCCAACGCTCAAACACAAACAGCCGAAGCCGGCTTCCTGTTTACAGCGACCTTTTAATCGCATTCATCATGGAAAGTGGTGATCGTCAGGGTTGCCCTCTTTCAATCTTCCTTTTCAATTTCGTAACTGCACCGATTCTTGAGTTTGTCCTATCCTTGTGCCAAAATAGTGGCATCGATTTCTGTCCAGACAGTAAACTGTCTGAATTGGAATATGCAGACGGTATTATTTTTCTGAGTGAAGAACCAGGTAAGCTGCAAGCTTTTTTAGATAGCCTAAGCAACAACGTAGCATTGTTTGGGATAAGTTCCGCACTTCCAAAGTGTAAAATGAGACTGCGGGATTGGTTTGGCTTCATACCAATCCTTGTGTTACTGGGGGAAGCTCTAGCTAAGTAGATAAATTTTTTTACCTCGGCAGTTAAATTTCATCAGGGGGACAGATATCGGATGAAGTGTCATCACGTGTACGGAAGGCGCGTTTGCTTTTTGCCAACCTCAGTTATCTGTGGCGCCGGCGTGACATCCGGTTGTCTCTTAAGGGTAGAGTGTACACTGCTACGGTTAGATCCATTCTTTTATACGGATTAGAAACATGCTTGATAAGGGTAGGACACAGACGAAGACTGTGTTTGACCATCGGTGTCTCTGTAGCATTGCGCGAATATGGTGAGAACACCGTATCAGTGATTCTCGGGTTAGACGCAGGGTGTTGGAAATCAGTGGACATTCATTGGAACATCGCGAACCTGTCATCTGTGGCGTCATCATGAAATCCGGCTTTCTCTCAAGGGAATGATGTACAATGCCACAGTTCGTAGTGTTCTTTACGGCTGCAAGACCTGGCTCCTCCGCATTGAGGATGCTCGGCGGCTTTCTGTATTCGACCACCGGTGTCTCCCAAGCATTGTTAGTGTCTAGTGGGAACACTCAGTGAGCAATGACGAGGTTCGTCGTCGTGCGTTCGGTGCTAGCAGTCGCCCTCTGGCAGTGATCATCGCTCTATATCGCATCTGATGGCCGAGGCAGATTTTGCATATGCCTGCCCATAGTTTACGTTTTCGTGCTCTTTCTGTAAGTGCTGGACAAGGCTGGAAAACTTGGCACGGCGGTCAGGTTATAAATTGGCGCAGGGACATGAAAAATTCAGCTTCGGCTTTGACTTCGTTTGGTGCTTCACGCCTTCCTGGTTGGAGCCGTTGGTTAGAGACGCTGAGAGATATGGCTCGGGACTGAATTCAGTGGCGCGAATGTTGTATGGCCTGTTTTTTGACTTGCCGTTCCCCATGACCAACTGAAACACGGACAGAAAAAATTACAAAATGGTGAGAATATTGAGAAACATTTGCTTTCACTTGTTGTAATCCTTATGCTGACTCTTCATCCCCCGCCCCTTGGCCCTGTATTTTTTCTGTTATTGCGTTGGCACCATGCTTGTGCTCAAGCCGGTGTATTATATATATATATATATATATATATATATATATATATATATATATATATATATATATATATATTGAAACAAGCACTCAATCTAAACAGTTTAAGATGGCTGGGACATGTGTTAACATGTCCACCAACAGACTTCCTAGGCGTACGCTATTCTTTGAGGCAGGTAACGGTTGGAAGGTAGGTTGAGGTGGTCAGTCTATGACATGGTAAAAACGCACATTAGCCAGTGGACTTGGCCAAGTAGGGCATGTTAGACTCCCGGGTTGGGGTCCACGCGACCCGCCTAACGAATGGATGGAGACATTAGGTGATATGGCTAGGTGTAGCGGCTAGTGACGAAGTTGCACTGGCACTTTCTTTTTCTTTGTGATTTCTGCCTATTACTTTGCTTCTTGTCCCTCTTTCACTTTATGCTTTTATTCATTTTGCCTTTTACTCGACGATACTGGAAAGCAGCAACCGAAATCAGAGCATAGAAGTGCGAAGTTGATGGTTGAATAAACTGAAACTGAATTAACAACATAAAATATTTGACCACCACCCGATTTCGAAAAACATTAGCCAACGCGGTCAATTTTGGAGAACTTTGACTTAATTGTTTGTAAAATAACTTTCTTCTGCTATCCGTTTCTACCTATAGCCTGCTTCATTCCGTTTACTCAGTATTAATTCTTTGATTGAGCTACACTGACACAACGACCAAGACCAGAGCCCGAAATCGTGATGTAAGCAAAGTTGACGTTGAGACTGTTTCCCTGCTGGAATTCCGATCCTACTGGCAGCTCTTAGTAACCGTACAATGAGCCATGTAACTGTGATCTAAAATAAAGAAAGAGAACTAACCTGAGAAAACTGTGCGTGTGTCAACGTTTTCAGTAGTCTTCTGAGGTACGAAACCAAGGCCAACATTCAAGGGACAACAAGGTGGAATCGAGGCATGTGAATTTGTTAAACTTGATCCTGTGACGGTCATTCCCCGAAGTGCAGGACTGATTATATGCGCGGGCATAGAAGCGGCTTCAAACACGGATTCAATGGGATCCGAAGGGTTATGGGCTAGTAAACTGGATGATAATTGAGGTCGACTTTGAATAGTCAGGACAGAGCGACTCAAACTGGCAACTGTACCACCGGATTGACATAAACACAAAAATGGGGATTCCAAATACCGTCTGTTGGCTGCTGCTTCAGTAGACAAGACGTTTCTCGGGTCGCCAGTAGTGCCCTGTTCATTAGCTCTAAAGAGAAATAGCATAATTTTGTTATAAAAAGTGAAACCAAGTCCCACAGAAAATCGAAAAGCCATATGCACATGGAAACAGTTGAATCGGGTGTCTGACGATGCACTTTTTTGAAATTTACTCACAGTAATTTACCTAGTTGTTTAAGCAACTAATAACTTTCTACTTTAGTTCTTTAGTATTCGTCTCAATACAACCCAGTTAGAAATGATACAAATGCAAGCACATAGAAAGAGAAACCATGATGAAGAAAATCAACTTGTTAGCAACCAATTTATCAGTATTTCATCTTTCGTTCCCCTACAAGGTTCTGCGGATATAACAATAATCACCATACTCAGTGTACATTGAATGGTTGTTAACGCATTAAAACGAATGATCATTACTTTAGACTGCAAACAGCGAAACTTTATTCATGAGATCTAAAGGGTCAATAGAATTATTGCATTCAGAATGACCAATTCTCCCCATACCTTTGTCTGCAGCCCAAGAAAACGAGATTTTCGGGATTAAACCATTACAAATCAATGCATAAGGGTGGCCGTCAACCATATAACACAAAGAGAGGACTTTCCAGTGTGCTCGAGTGTTTTTAACAAGGTATGAACTGCCGATGAAACTAACTTGCATCAATGAGCTACGAAATTGTCTTAGTTGCAGGAACACCAACAGAAGCACCACGCGTGGGTTCTCTATTTTTTGAAGTTCACTGTAAATCTCTCAAAAACATTTCTATTGTAACTGAGGAGAAAGTCACAGTAATAACATAATCGCACAACTATTTGTGCAAGTAAAATTTTATCCAAATGCAATTCCCTGTACTGGCTTCGAATCAAATCAGTCAGAATAAAAAACAAAACTTACTTTTTCCGTGTTGATCTCTGTTTGATACGACGGAAGGCCGCAACCGCATGAGATCTACCACGAGAAAGCCCTCCGGTAGTTCTCCCGAAAGCAAAGTCCGAATCGGAATCTCCTGGTCGCTGTTTTGTTCGTCTGCGTCTTCGAGTGATATTCCGCAGACCGCGTTTACGCGTGCCTCTGTTGGCGCATTTACCACGCTGCGGGAGCGTGATTTCTTCTTTCATTGTGACTTTCATTGCATCAGTATGCACCTGTTCAAGACGGTGACACTGAACTTGGCATTCACTGGGAGCTAATGAAACTGGAATTGAAATATTTGGACTTCGAAATGCAATTGGCGAGTCCAAATTTCTCTCCGGGATTGTGTTTGCGTTACCTAGTGAAAAACGAGTTTGGTTTTCTGGAAGGCTTTTTTGGGGGGAGCCCATAACGATGGATATCTTCTCAAGGATGGGCAAACCGTTCCCAACATGCTTCACGGATGATACAGATGAGCTACTAGAGCAAGGTGACAAGGAAGCTAATCGAGGTGCACTGCAAGGACGTTGAGATGTTCTCTCTTCTACGGTAGATGGAGAAGGCATAACCGATGGCTTGCAAGCGGCTTCTCGTGCCAATACAGGGTGAGAGAGATTTTTCTCTGAGTTTGCCCTTGAGGAGGCAGATGATTGGCCGACAATTTCAGCGACAATAACGGGGGGAGACGGTGATGAAGTATGGTTAAATAGATTATGCATTAGATTCGTTGGCGATGAGCTTGCAGGAGATAACGCAGGAGGAGGTGGTGAACTACCGCCGGAACAACATTGACTACCCTCACCAGTGCCTAAAAAATCCGTGGCGACAGTGAGGTCCGTGATTAAAGCACTTCCTTTGCATGTTGATGTAGGCGGAGCCCTGCCGAATACACAGGCACCAGCACCGGACTTGTGAGAAACGAGCTCAGTGGGAATTAGGCAAGAGTTGGACTGCAGAAATCCTTTAGTCAAGGATTTTGCCTGTCTCACAGGTCTCTCGTTCATGTGTGAATAGAACATCCGATATCAAAGTGTCCACAAACCACTTGTCTGCATCCGTCAGATTAGTCCGGCTTTTTCTACAGGGTGAAGCACAAACCAACTGATGTGCAAATGTTTCGGTTGACAGAATACATCAATGTAGCACAGCTACCTACTACTTGAGAATACAGAAGAAGGCTTCATAATTACTGCCAATGGATATAACCATAAATATCTCAACGGCACTTCAGCCTTACGGATAAAACCAGCAGTGGATCGTTACTAATTGACGTACGAGTTTAAAACACCCACCTCAGTTCAGGTCAACTTTCACTTCATTTACGATGATTCATGAGGACTGACGGACCTGGTACCCATAGTTCTCGAGTGACATGGGTTCTGTCAGATACAGATTCCGACTCAGATCAGGTCACAGGACTCGTGGCTTTGGCCGGTGTACCCCCATGCCCTTGCACTCAAAGGCCGCTATGTTCCCACGGCGCTCCGACTGCCGAGAGGTCCGGATGCTGTGATTGTTGAGTGGTAGACTGCAAGGAGGAGAATGAAGAGCAGGCTCGCTCCCGAAGAACCGGCATTTACTTTGGATAGACAGGTCTACTGTGTCAACTTGATCAATTCAATTCGGTTCCGGATAGCAGACTTCCACCCGTTCTCTTCTATCCACTCGACAGGTTGCCCCATCCAAGGAACTTATTAGGTTGGACATACAGGAGCGCCTGTGCCAGAACCCCATGGTGGTTTGCGGTCACCAGCTTGTTCCTCCCTAAATGCTTCATTATTCTGTCTCGTAGTATTCTCTCGAGAGCTTGAGCAGAACTGACGTCAAGTTATTCGGCCTGTAACTGGTACGTGTGTCTCTGTCTCCACCTTTATAAACGGGCGTGATGATCGGTACAAGCCCGTCTTTAGGCAGTACATCCCTGTCAAGCGATGCACTGAACAGCTTAGCTAGTGGTTCAGCCAGGATGGACACTAGTGGCTTCAGCATCGTTGGGTGGATGTGTAGTGAGCTCGATCGTTCTGAGAAAATGACTGTTTTCTGGACACCATTTTGGATATATTTTCTCTACGGTCGTTTCCGACGTTTGACGTCGACCTCACAGTGTTGTCCCGTTGCGTAGGCTTTACTGGACTGACCTTTCCGAGGTTTCCGTCTACCTCGATTTGAATCACTTTCGCCTTCGGTCGTTCGCCGATCGTACGCGCTTGCGGTTCGCTTTCTACATAGCCGACGTTTGACGTCGACCTCACAGTGTTGTCCCGTTGCGTAGGCTTTACTGGACTGACCTTTCCGAGGTTTCCGTCTACCTCGATTTGAATCACTTTCGCCTTCGGTCGTTCGCCGATCGTACGCGCTTGCGGTTCGCTTTCTACATAGCCGTTGCGTTTCGTTTTCCGTTCGGTGTATCTCTCGTATCGGTATTGTTTCGGTGCCACGATATACAGAATACACCTTGCATCTATAAACCAACTTGCGTCTTACCTATTCGTCCGATAGAGGGGATAACGTTGGTATTTCGCTGCTAGACCAAATAGGAGACATGTTCACCAGCCGCTCTCGAAGTCTTCTATAGATGTCATCCTGCCCTGTTGCCTTGGATGCTTCTAGCTGCTTCAGGCTACCTAGCTTACCCCCGAGAATCCCCTCAGAGGAAAACTGAATAAGTAAAAGGGCCGCAGTCTGCTGTATTTCATCGCCCGAAGGGGAAACATGTCTTGTGTGCCGGAAAAGAAGGGAGTGGAAGATAGAGGTGTAACCTGAGTGTACGTTCGCTTGGCTAGTCATAGTCCTGGAAAACCTCATCCCATAGTGGGGACTCCGCTCCCTGGTGTCTAGTTCCATAACCCCAATAACATAACCTTCGACTCCTCCCGTCTCTAGCTTCATCCATGACTGAGGACGGCACCCAGGTGCACTTGAGATGATTATTCTCAGTTCCGTGTCCGAAAATAGATCCCTCGCCAGCACTAGCCCTACTGTTTACCCAGGATGTCATTCATTCTACGCAAGCAACTCAAACAACCTTTCGCGTGAACTCCTTCCATGGGCTCCGTTCAAAGAAGGAAAGTGATGAAGGATCCCACCGGAACCGCACCACACATCTTTACTTCTACTATGCTGTCGGTTTTGTTATGAACTGGGAACCAGTGTCATGTTAGAATGCTGAAAGTTGTTGTCGCCTTGCTCTGTGGTGTGAAGAATTGAATGCCTCTCGAGAGATGCTGGGATGCAGGATCACCAGGCCTGGTGACCAGCTGGGTTTTGTTTTTTGCCCGGTTTGCCAGATGTGGCTGACACCTATCTGCTTTTTTCGTTCAGCTTCACTGCCCCTTGCGCGGACCCAGATTATGTCCCTCAATTCTCTGTCGCTTCCTCTCCCACTGGACTAAATTTTCGGCCCGTCGTTCTTTACTCTTGACAAACTTTTGCTGATTTTCCCCTTACTCCTTTTGCCCTTTGGCTCCCTCACATCAATTCACGGGGTTCTGAACATTTTATTACATTCGCTTTTTCCACTGGTCCTGCCCTTCCATTTCATTTCACGTTACGCTGTTTTGATTTACTTTCTTTTCGTTTTTTATGACTCGCCTAGCCGACCAAATACCATCACCGTGAACCCTCTCCACTTCCTTCCAATTTGGGTCTGATACGGTGGATTGCACGGACGAATAAAGGACGGTGTTCAGCTGATTGCTCACGGTGGTTTGGGACTAGGCGGATGACATACATCAGTAGTGTATTCTGGTGTCCCCTCCGTACGGTCCTACTCTTAATGCGCAATACACGACTGCAAAGAACAAATACTGGAAATCCTTCCAAATGTTCTATGTACTTTGTGAATTTGACTATATTTGACGTTATCTTGAAAAGCTCGCCCACATGCCACACTTTTTCACGTTTGTTTATTCATGTGAGACATTTGAATTTGGCCTTGAACCGTTTGTGACTGTCGTGCTTGAGCCACGGGACTTTTAACCTTTAGGTTCTACTGTGAAGTCTATTTGGCCGCATACTTGAGGTTTGTATGTATTTGCACCATTTATGAATTTCAATTTAGTACCGTAGAAACTGCGAATCAACCTTGTTCTGCTTTTGAGATTCGTTTGAATTGGCTACGCTTTGCTGGATTTGCGAGAGTTGACTTACAGCGGCTGCGCTATCTGTCAGAGTGAGAATTGATAGGAATTATGTATGATTTGGCAACTCCCCCTCCAGCACCACAGGACACTTGTATAACAACCCCTTCTGAAACAAATTGCAAACAAGACTCATTCATATCAGCATCGTGTCAACCCAGGAACCTCCTTATCACCGGAACAGTGAACCGATGGCATTATTCCAGATGCTTTGTTCGGATCTTCGAATAAGGATCCAGGTACCGCTCTGCTACACACCTCACGGGTTACCCTTTGAGCGAACGCTTGCAAGCCGCCCCAAATACGGGCTCTAGTAGCAAGTTCCCTGGTGGTTAAGGCCTGCCAGGAAGCTGCTTTCCCCGGCACCCTGTCGGGGACCATGTAGCTTCAAACGTAGGCGGCGACCAAGCAGCGACGAAGTAGACGACAACGTGAATAGATGCTGACTGAGGTGTTCCTCGGAACACAGGATGCCTTTTAGGAGGATTTGGCCACCGGTCCTCCGGTATTCCGTACTGTAAAGATTTAGACAGCATGGTCCTGCGCCGGTTGAATTACTCAAGTCCTCTGCGTTGAGTTCCGTGTTGAAGTGTTCACGGGAATCACGTAAGTTAAGTCACTCCACCTCAGGTACAAGAGTGACGTCAGGGTACGCTTTTTGTTCGGAAAATCTTTTATTTCTCCCCACCCATTTTTCAGTTTTGTGTAGTTCTTTTGTTGTGCCACCTTTTCCCGTATGGCGTGGAGACCATATTTCGATTGTCACCAATCGTTAACTATTTTGGTTTGTAACTCGCCCTGTTATGTGCTTAACATGAGGTGTGAGATATATCCGAGTCTGGCCGAAGGATGTGGGAAGCGAGTTGCAGAAGCTATAGTGTGTGGCTTATGTAATAGGCGGGCCTATGCAGGCTGTTCTGGCGTTGGTAAGGATGTGCACCAGCCACAATGCAAGAACAGCCGGGTGGAATGTCTCTGTAGTCTATGCGAGGAGGCTGCAAGGCTGGCCCATAATGAACAGTTCAAGCACGATTAGTACGGCTTCCTCCTGCGGACTGTGGAGGAGCAGAGGATAAGACGCCGCAGCTTGCAGCAATATCAAGGCCATATGCGGAGGTCTTGGGACGGACCCAGAAAGCAATCCTCGAAGCGATCAGTATTCAAAAGCATGGTTTTCCTGTTACAGTCCCCCCACCCTAGTAAGGCAAACTGTTACGGGAGGGTGGGTGACCCGGGACCGAAAAAGAAAAAGCTTAACACTAATAAGACCCAAACACAAGAAGCGACGGATGAAACCTTAAGGAGGCAGGAGCTTAGTTACCGGACCCGGAAGTCTAGGTGCTGGACCTCCAAAGGCGAATCCAACAAATGTGAATAGCTATGAGTCAAAGACCCCTGATACTCGATCAGAAGGAGCCGTTTATATGGGAGTTTTGGGGCACTCAGGGACGTGGAAATGAGGCGGGCTTTGGGTATACTGCTTCTCTCATGTGTTTCTCGTCCGGTTACCTTGAACAGAGAGCACACACTAGGGACGTGGAGGTCTCCGTTCTCTAGAGTGGGAACCAATACCGCGAGGCCATTCCAAGTCGGGTTTACCGATGGGCATATCGGGGGTATGCTGCTGACTGGGGCTACATTGGTAGCCCGCAACCCAAGTGGCTGATGCCACATAGTACCGGACGAACACAGAGGGAAGCAGGGTAGAATAATGGATAAACCTACAACGAAAGGTCCACAAGGACAACAGAAAACCTCACCCGGCATTCGGGGCAACACACCGTTGGCTATAGGCAGGCCGTAGAAGTCGTCGGGAAAAGTGCTCGTTGAGGACTTTCCGGAAGACGAACGTTGGGAGTGGGGTATGGGTACGAAATTGGAGTTCATGAGTATTCCAGTGAAAATGGACTTGGAGGTATCAGAGGTCCCACGTGTCCAACGGTCTCCATGCCTCCCAGTGATAGTCACCGTTGCCCGGAGGCCGGGCCCAAGTCAGAGGCAGGTTTAAACAAAAAGGGGTGTCAGTCAGTTGGGGCGAATGCTGTGGTGTCATACACCTACGCAAGCAAATTTAGAAACAAATAGATAAAACCGTCGCAAGTAACTTGGGAGCACTCTGCGTCAATAGCCGTCGATACCAAAACTTGGCTTTGAAAAGAAGATCGTCCTTCAGGATTATTAACTGACGATTTCACGATGCACGGACAAGATATAGAACCTGATTGTACTGGAGGAGGGGTCGCCGCCCTTAGTTAGTCAGGTAAAAACCATGTTGAGTCTCAGACCAAGATATGCACCGGCAATGTTCAGCCGTGCTCTTTTACAATCATCCTTACAGGCCAAAGGATTAACTTCATATGTGTCCAAGGGGCGTCGAGCACGAAAAGCGATAAGGACGTACTAGTACTGCGGACCCTAGCCAAGCTCGCTAACGAAGTCCATAAGACCCTCATAGTGCGTGACCTCAACATTCCGCACGTTGACTAGACGGTTGGAGGCTGCAAGACGGGATAGCAGGAAGGGAAGCCACTTGGGGTGGCTGCGTGCAAATGCGCTGCATCAACACATTAGGGAAAATACGAGATATATGGCTGGTTGCGCACCATCCTTGTTTGATCTAGCAATGACGAATCTCGCAAACGATGTATCCGAACCATGAAGCCGTGTACAGTCGGATAAGCGTGAGCACGTGCTTATCAAAATCACCCAATGCATGGGGCAACCCAAGGTACCATCAGGGTTGGTTGGAAATTTCGCCGGTGTAGACAGAGATAGGCTTCGTAATAGGGCGACGGGGCTGACGTGGGACACGGTAGAAAGTGGTAACCTCGAGAAGTGCAAGCAGGTCATAAATGGATCCACGGTTACCCTACGGAAACGAAGGAGTTACGAGGGAAAACCTAAGTGGTAGAAGGCAGCAATTGCAACGGCTGTCAGACGTAGAAACCACAGCGAGAACATTTACGAAGCTTCCGGCGGTTGGCTAGCCTGAACCTGTTATACAAAGCTCAGAAACTAGGTTGTGAGCATTCTGTGAGTTTCCGATCAAGAATTTGAACTTAGATTAGCTCAATGCAGAAGGCAACGACTGAAGAAATTCTATAGCTGTGTGCAGCCAAAGGGCCCAAAAAAAGACGCCAAGGTTCACCGTTCACTAGGGACTGCGGCACTGCCACCGATGACATAGGGCAAAGCATACACCATGTGAAAATATTTTGGTAGTTTACATAGCATAGGTATTTGAGCATGAGTCTACTTGGCCCTGGTTCACCCTCCTCCGCAGTTAAGCGAGCCAAATCTCAGAGGGAATTGTGCGTAAGTACCTACAAGAAATGAACGGCCACAAGTCAGCGGGTCCAGATGGTATCCGCCCAGTTATCACCAAGCCAATGGCGGATATCATAACTCCATCGTTATGCAAGCTGCCCAGGTCCACGTTCAACTAGAGTGAGCTGTCTCAGGGCTGGAAAACCGCGGCCGTCGCGGTGATACATAAGAGCGAACCTGAGTCGGCTGTGGAAAAATACAGGCTTGTAAGCTTAACTAACTAAATTTCTTGAGGAGGTCATCCGCGCCCACACCTATCAGCATTTACTGAAACACTTCATGCTTAGCTCAGTCGAGCATGGATTCCTGAAAATAGATCTTGTTTGACAAGTCTCTTGTGCTTCCCAGGTGAAGTGATGCGACGGTTGGATGAATGTAGGAAAGTTGAGGTATGTTACCCTGACGTTAGCAAGGCGTTCGACTCCGTTATTTATCGTCTTTTGCTGTGCAAGATGGAGACGTTCGGCATGTGGGCCAGTATGTAGGTGGCTGAAGGACTCCCTCTCTTGCAGGGCGTTTTACACCAAAGTAGGGGACGGGTGCCCCAGTCTGATGGATGTCACCAGTGGTGTAGCTTGGGGATCCGTCCTAGGTCCGATGCTACTCTAGCCGCTTACTACGGACCTGGAATCCACCCTTCAATCTCCCAGTTTGATTTTTGCGGATGACGTGGAGTTTGTTGGACCTGAGGGTAGGGTCGAATTAGGCGGGGATATAGGAACCTTCCTGGACTGGGCAGACAAGTGGGACATCGCTGGACGCTGGAAAAAGTCACTTGTTGTCAAGGCCGACAAAAAGCCTAACTGTCACTCATGACCAGCGGCTGTTCGCCATAGAAGTAGTCGGTAGGGTTGAAGACCTAAGAGCTATCACGAGCAGTGATTTTGCGTGGCCAGACCAGTGCAGCGCTGCTGCACAAAAGGCTCGTGGTGAGCTCCTTAGACTGCCATCAGCATTGCCTTGCTGGCAGTCAGAAATATTCGTTACTGTTCACATGGCTATAGTACGGCCGCGCCTGGAAGGTAGCGTGCAGTGCGGTCACGCTTTTGTAAAAAGGACGCCGCCCGCTTAAAAGAAGTTCAGCGTCTCGCAACGCGGATGATTGGATAGCAGGGGGGTAGGACGTATACGCAGAGACTCTGCAATCTAAAGCTCTTCTCGTCGGAAGGGAGGAGAAGTCGAGGGGTTCTCATAGAAACGTTCAAATTAATGGAGGGTTTTTCTGGCCTTAGGTGGGACAGTCTGATCCAAGTGGTTTGAGATTCCAGAACGAGGGGACACGAAAAGAAGCTGGCGAAAGTTTGGGCTAATTTGATGCATAGATAGGACTTATTCAGCAACAGAATAGTGAGCAGTTGGAATGGTCTGCCCGGTGGAATGAAAGATCTGCAGACCGCCTAGTCCTACAAAGATGCCATAGATCGCAAGCGGTACAAGATATATCCTGGTAGTGGGCTTCGAGTGTGTTCGCTGACTACATGCCGTGCAGCACTGCGGTCCGTCTGAGGTGTCTTTTGGCTGACATTTCTGTCTGTTGCATACTGTCTCGATGAGTGCATGTGGTGCATAACGCCTCTCGCAGTTAGTGTGCGGTGAGGTTCCACGTTTCCCTCCCCTTTTTGGCGGGGATCCGACGAAATACACTGTGCAGTGGTGGATACGTAACTGGCGTGCATACTATGGAGAGAACTCTGAACGCTCGTTTGGCCGAGGCTATTACCTGTCCTGTGCAAACTAGCTTCAACTGAACTGAAAGTGTCACGCTGGATAGCCCTTACAGGCGATTCGTGTCCTACTGCTGAACCCTCTCGGTGTTGATGACTTCTTGTCGGAGTACCGACGGAAAAGCCTGGATTTTCACCTCCAAGTGTGGTGTAGCATGCGTAGCGAAAGCGTTCGAGAGTATTGCATGTGTGAACTCTCCTGCCTAGTTGGTAAGCCTCAACGTGGCTGTGCGGGCTAGGATGTTGCATTTTATTGTCTGGAATTGGGCACCTGCAATGCCCATGCAAATACCTCTTTCCCAAGAATCCCTCTGCAGCAAGCTATCTCACGTAGGGTTCTCACCAGCTCAATACCCCCAAAATGCATGACTTTGATTTTGATCGAATTAATTGGCAAGTCATTGCAAAGTGCTCATCACAACAAACTTTCGGGATCAGTTTGCAAAAGCTTCTCCTTTCATTTCCGTCCGAATCTGTCGTCGGATCTCTGGGTTGTCTGTTTGCACCGGGATGTTTAATTTTACCCCAGAAGGAAGATCTTTTACAGGCAGCTAACAACCGGATTTCGAGTTTGGACCAGCGAGTCACTGCACTCGCTGCTCGGTGGCTGCCGGAGAGCGTACCTTTCACTCTGATTATAACTGCTGGTGCGGACAAGGAGCCGGACATTGAAGCTATGAAAGACTCAGGGAAGCCCAATCTACCAAACTTCCCTGGAAGTAGCGAGTGGAAAAAGCTATCAAAAGACCCGGGAAATCCAAGAGCAAACTTCCATTTGGACTCGCTTCCCTGATGCTTCAATTTACCACTCCATTGTTTCTACCGGGCAAGAGTGGCAAGATCCACTGCCTCGGAAGCCGAGCTAAGAACCACTGAACACTGTCATCATCAGGGAACAGGTAAATGTCATCATCGATCCAGCCTTCCGCGACCTTGAAGAACATGAAGAAAGGTGGCAAGTAGCAGCAATTTTGCGGCAATATCCTGCTCCCCGTAAGGCAAGCTTGTGGAAATCGTCCTCCGTCACTGTCACATACTTGCACCGTTTGGACTATGTGATTAGTTCGTTGATACTCGTATGCCTACTGCACACGTCAATCACTTAACTTGGACACTTGCGTATACCTCGCTGATATGCTGTGGCATATTTCCGCTTTGATCTCTGACTGCCGCGATGGTCGTATCTGGCCGTGAATTCTGCTGAACTTCGATTTCCGTTATTATTCGTTGTGGTCGCAGAGTGGACCTCTGTGTATAATTTGCACGCTTATAATTTGTTTATTCTTCATTGCAGGATTTATGAGGGAATCTCGTTCTGACTTTAGGATTCGTTATTTTGGCTAACAGCTGTCCGCAATCGGAATAATGTTACTTTACCTGCCTTAAATTTTGTTTAAACCACGTAGTCCTTTCACTCGTCCAGTACCTTCTCAACACTCATTGATTGGTCAACAATGTTTGAGAGTGGGAGAGATGGTTACCCCGCACACTGCCTGATTAACAGCCGTAGAAATTCATCCAGCCCTCGACGATTTTCGGGACTTTAAGCTACCGAGCTTGCTTCCATCTGGTGTAGGTGAGAAAATCATTGATGCCTCATCTGAAGGTGGTCCTCTTGTCGCTGCTACTGAGTCGTTGTCAGCTGCTAGGATTGATCGTTTGGGATCAAAAATAATAGAGAAGTACCAAACCAGGCCATTTTTGTCCACTTCTTTGCTTTTCATCGGTGTTCCATCCGCTTGTTGCACATCCGTTTTTCCTGGTTCAGCCTCTTCACTGTAAATGTTCGGCTATAGAAGCTTCTGGGGTCTGCTACCACCTTGTGTAGGAACTGCCTCTGGCGCTGCGAAGCAGCCCGCTTGAGCGGAGCATTACAGAAGTTTCAGATGAAGGTGTATTCCATTTAGTCCTGCCAGCCCTTGGGTAATCTCTATCTACCCCGTATTACTCTCTTCCTCCTCAGAGTTTTCAGAGTGCGGCCGCTCTACCGGCCTGAGATTATTGACCCCAATGGGGTTTTCGAATCGCAAACCTTAGCACAGCTTTGGCCGGAAATTCCCTCAGGGCGGTTAAATTTGCACAGTAAAGGCCCCGTCTGATGAGTTCTTCAGCCACTAGCAAAGCGCAGGTTCGCCAAAACAGGAACCCGATAGCCCCATTACCTCCAGGCCCCAAAGGTGCTTAAACCACTGGCTGGTGAACCTTGAGTCGTTTGATGGCGAGTATCCGGCCCAGAGTGGACGGGGTAGAAGTCCTTATCCACCGCGTGGGTTGTTGTACTTTATCAAGCCGGTTAAGGCTGTTTATTGTAACGAAGAAAGCTGAAGGTATGAACCGTTGATCGGCGTGGTAGGACATGGGTTCGAAGCACACCTCGGGGAGGTTGACGACAATAATCAAAAGCGTCTGTTCATGTTTCAGTGATCTCACGTGTTGCGTTGCTTTTGGTATGAGTTAAGGGGTTTAGTGCCATTCGGAGGCCTATAAGTCAAGCCTTCAAGACACCCTCTTTGCCATCAGTCCTATGGGGGCCCACTTTATCCGCAGTGCCTAGTGTTGGGTCTGGAGGCTTTGGTGCTCCCAGCCTGCTGCCAATATACAGAGCGCACCCCCTGTCTATATTTCTTGTTTCACCACTCCTGATGATATCAGTATCCCGCACCTCTAGCTCCGAGTCCGAAACTGCTGCATATATCGGTTATCCCCATCACCAGCGCGTTCCACTCGTATTCAAGGGGTGGAGTTCAGGAAGTATGTTGCGCAGGATTTAGCTGCTTGTGTGCTTGCGATTCGGATTTTCGACCACCATGGAGTAGCTCAGTGGGGAAGAAATCTCTCCCACAGGTAAACAGGGACGGTAATGGTCACCAAGATGGATACAGGCCAGAGCCTCGCCTAAGGTGCGGTCCCCGTCCGTTCAATTGTGGTTAGGCTGCCAGGTCTACACGAGCTGGCGAGCTCGAGTTTTTGGACTTGGTAGATAATTGCTGCATTTCACCGTGGCTTCTGGAGTGTTTGGAACGGACAGTAGTGGCCGATTTACCTTCGAGGGTTTAGCCGGCTTTTTCAGTTCGCATTCGTTCCCCGGTCTGCATGGACGCCAGTGTAGATCTGAAGAGAAGCTGTATCGTCCCAACCAGGGCTTACGACAGATGAGTGACTCAGAGGAGCCTAGGCTGGGGGATATCCTGTGAGTTTGAAGGCCTCGGCAACCTGCTGGCACTGCGTGCATCTAACATGTCGATAGCCATTTTGATTTGGCAAACTTCCACGAACGACGGACGCCGCTTCATCTGTTCCCGCGGTTGTCGCTGGGTGACTCAGGGGCCCCAAGCAAGATTACATCACGAGCCTACAACGGGTTTTTTCCTAGTGATTCACAGGCTTCGGATCTTTTCTGATGGATCCGGGTTGTTCCAATCTTGTAACGACTGCAGAGTGGCTGCTTAAAGGCCTTACTCCTGTCAACAAATTTTTTACGTCGCCATCGGACTCCTGCAATACCAGCTACGTGGGTTGTCGCAAAAATCGCCTAAAAGGCGCTATCCGGGAGGGTACTTCCCTGTTAGCCATCACTAGAACGCCGTACTGTTGCGAGATTAACACTCGGCCAGCAATGCCGAGTCAGATTCAGGAAAGTTAAACACGGTCACTGACCTGGTGCCAGGGCCGGCCCCGCAAACTTTCCTCAGGGCAACAGAGGAAACTTATATTGCATTCATTCCACTGGTTGAGGGTTCGGACTTCCAGGAGCTTAAGCAGACTGCTTGCTCCGTCCCGGTAACTAACGAAACATTAAACTCTTTGCAGTGGTCTGACTGTTTATTTCTGTTTTATAGAGCGGCATTTACCCCTCCACTGCATTCCTAATCGAGGTGGTCTGTGATTCAGTTTCAACTATTTGCCCTCCGTCCGCTTTTATTGGAGCCCAAAAGGGTCCACAATTCTTTTTTCCCCACCGAAGCACTGTATAACACGGTCGTCACATGTCGCGAACTGGCATTCATTTTGAACCCGCTGGAGACAACTATACATAGTGTATAGGCCGTGAGCTCTCTTAGCAGTCATGGTGTAAGTACCAAGACACAAATTCTGGCTAGTATTGCAGTGAATACCCTAATTTTCCAACTTCTTCTGGTGGTTTTACTTCCGCGGTAAGTAGTTTCGCTTCCTGAGATACGTTTCCAGCTCACAGGCTGCACCTTGGGCTTCTTGCGAAATCATAATGGCTTTAACCCACCTAGTACAAAGCTAATTCCAAAGAAGGCAGTTAACGGATACCGAGGAGAAACCCAGTTGAAAAAAATGTGCACGGAAGACATTTTCAAAGTGGTACCAACCAATGTAGATTATCGTGCTGCCAACATGACCAAGAAAACACTCCCTGAAGTAAAATAAACTGGAAATAATACAGGATGGCAGGGAAGGTGATGCTGCGTCCACTACAGAACAGAGAGTAGGATGTCGTCGCTGTTTAAAACCGGCGATGGCAAGGTCCAGCCATAGGAATCGGGAACAGCTATGCTGCGACGCATTGCATCGACGGCATGAAACTGTTATCTGGTGCCAAGCCCCAGTTAGCGTCCCGGGAGACCACTTGCAACTGTCCCACGCCATTCGCACCAGCCTCTGTATTTGTTGCCGGGCTTTAATATTTAGCGAAGTTTAGCGGAGGATCCCTATGCGCGACCAGTTTCCTGCGGCTGGCCAGCCAAAATCCTTATGTACTCCAGCCACTTCGACTTCATCAGCAAGCTTAACTTTTGGGCCCGCAAGTTTGTATGATAGTCCACTGGTGCAGATGAGAGACAGCGGGCACTATGGCACCCCTCTAATTACTCCATTTGATTCCGGGGTTTGACTGCTCGACATAACGACAAATATCGGCCCCTTCAGAAAGTTACCAACCATAGTCTTGCTTGGTGTAACACACTTTTGAGCAGTGTGTAGCCAAATTCACAACGGATCCCGAAATCAAAAGGCGATTATCCGTGATATGCTACGATACTAAATTGTTGAATGAATAATGACACCAAAAACATACAAACATCAATTAGATCACAAGGACTCAACAAACGAGAATCGAGTCGCGGCGTGCGAGCGAGGAGCACGTGCGTCACGCAGGTCCAGAACAAGGACTTGACAAAGAAGCTCTCCGGGCGTGAACAAACAAAAATTAGTCCATAAAAACAAACAGTGCGTAAAGACGCGTCAATAGTGTAGGCACGTGAATGATGTTAAGGAAAACATGGTACTGCAACGAATTCAGGGGGATTTTCCACTACCGGTCGTTACACTGCCCACCAAAATCCTTCGGAATCCTTAGCAGAGCCAAAGGTTTGGTAAAGAGGTACTGATTCTTCCTGCCTACCTAGGCCCTGCTGTCAGTGCGCGTGTCTAATGCTTGTCGTCAACGTTCTACTCACGTAGCACCTAATCAGGTGGTCCCCCGACGCGAGGCTATTCTACCTCTTCCACGAGAACAACTGACCGATGGTGGGCGTGAAGGGGGAACATAGATGCCGTCCTTGGAAGGGCCGTCCTGCCCTGGCTGTATGTGCTTGCTTGAGTGTATGCGTATGTGTATGATGTAATCGCCGCTACTTCCACATATGCAAAAGACATTCAGCAACGTCAACAAAAAAGAACGGCGAACGCTGTCACATGTTCGATGGGGGTGCGGGGCATAGTGTGCATCGGGTATGTGCGTATGTATCTGGATGTACGATGGAATAGCAAGTACCCCCACATGTCAAAAAGAAACTTTCTGTGACGTCAACGAAAGTCTGTGAG